GGGCTTAGGGGCTTGGGGGCTTAGGGTTGTTTAGGGCTCCATCGTGGTTTCACGAAGCGGCTGCACTAAACCCCAAACACCCTCAGCCCAACACCCTAAGCCCTAAACCCTAAAGCCTGATACCTTTAAGCCCTAAACCCTAAACCCCAAAACCCACAAGCCTACACTAAACCTGAAACCCTAACCCCTAAACCCTAAAGCCTTAAACCTTAAACCTTTAAACCCTAAACCCTAAAGCCGAAAAAACCCTAGACCCTAAAACCCTAAACCCTAAAACCTTAAAAACCCAAAACCCTGAACCCTAAAACCCTAAACTTTCAACACCCTAAAAACCCTAAAGCCCCAAAGCCCTAAACCCTAAACCTTAAAAAACACCCCAAACCCTAAACCCTAAAGCCCCAAAGCCCTAAAGCCCCAAACCCTAAAACCCTTTCAAACACCCCAAAGCCCAAAACCGCAAAACAGGAACTCGGGCTCCCTTCCGACAGCGGCTCGGAGAGTGGTGCCGGCTCAGAGCTGGGAGAGGCACCGCAAGCTTTTTGAAGGGGCCCTTTTCAGGGTTTAGGGCCTAGGGGCTTAGGGTTTCTAGAGGGTTTAGGGCTTAGGGTTCAGGGTTTAGGGTTTAGGGCGTAGGGTTCAGGGTTTAGGGTTTAGGGTTCCAGGGTTTTAGGGTTTAAGGTTAAGGGTTTAGGGTTTAGCGTTGAGGGTTTAGGGTTTAGGGGGGATGCTTTGCGGTTTTATTTCAGGGGGCTCTTTTCCAGGATGCTTTGAGGGTTCCTGTAAGGGCTTCAGGGACCGGTTATAGGGGTTTTACGGTTTAGGGGTCCGGGTTTCGGGTTTGGGGCTTAGGGTTTCGGGTTTCTTGTTTACTTAAAGAGTTTGTAGGCGTGTAGAGGGCTTCTAACAGGGTCCCAGTTTTCAAAGAAGTTGTTATCGGGTTTTGTCGGGTTAGTAGTAGTGTCATTGCCACCGAGGGGGTCTTTGGTATTTTTTCAATAATTGATTGTGCATAGGTCTTTGCAGGTTCTTTCTCAACGGGGACTGCAGGATTTTTATCATAGCTTCTTTTCAACATATGCACCTGGCTGCGTGTTTCTGTGGTGAAGCAGCAGTAGCAACAAGCGACAGCAGTAGCGACAGTGCGAGTAGGAATGAGCCAATGCATCAGGACCCCTATTTATGTCTATATCCAAGCAGAAGATCAACAGACGAGCTGGTAATCCTTTGCTTGCCAGAACTCAAAAAGGTTTAGGGTTTGGGGCTTTCATCCTATTGATTGGGGCAGGGAATACAGCAGCCAAGAAGTTGATAACGGGAGAGACATCTGTGAGGCAAGCTACAGGTTCTGCAGAGTTTTCAGATGGGTTTAACCGCTTGCATAGCGTTTTGGGGGTAGGGTTTAGGGTTAAGGCTTAGTGCTCAATGTTGATGGCTTTATTGAAGTAAAGTTTGAAGATTGAAAAGCATTGGGGAAACTGACCAACGCTAAACCCTAACAACCTGAACCCAATACTAAAACTAACAACCAATAAGGTTTCCAGACAAAACGACCCTATAGACCCCCAGTGCACATTTACAAATATATATCCTAAGCCTCAGATCTGAATCCTAAACCCTAAACCCTAAACCCTAAACCCTCAGCCTCAGATATAAACGCTAAACCCTAAATCCTAAATCCTAAGCCTCAGATGTAAGTCTGACGTGGTCTTGCAACCGCTGCCACAGAGGCTCCAGTCCTCGTGGCTTGCGGGGAGTACCTAATCCGGTACATTGGGGGTCCCTTTTAGAGCTCCTTAAGGGCTGATTCGCCTTGTGGAAGGCACTTGTGTGGATTCATAGAATAGCGTCGTAGCTAGCTGAAATGGGATATTATTATCCCTTATAGAGCTGAAAGTGTACACTTTTTTGGCCTGTGAACTCAGCAGCTAAGATAATGGTATGCAGCCATGGCTCCTGCGACCAGGCGCTGCGAGTCTTCAAAGCCTCGGGGGAAGAGCTCATAGCCGTCCCCAGGGAGGAAGTGGAGATCATCGGCACTGTACGAAACTTGAAGCATCGCTTGCAAAGCCTTTGTGGCATGCCGCGCTTCAGGCAGAGGTTGCTGAAGGATGACGAAAACCTCGAGGATGACGCACGCCTGGAGCCAGGGGATTTCCAGCTGTTGTTGCTACACTTCTGCAAGGCTTCCGGGCAGCAGGCGGGTCTGCTGGGCGGGTATGCCAGGGAAGGTGAAGGGAAGAGGGTAGAGGAGATGCTGATGCTACCTCAAAATCCCGACTCGATGGGAAGCCTGGGCATGACGCCCCTCTGCCTGGCATCACAGGCTGGCCACGGCAGAGTAGTAGAGCTTCTGCTGGAAGCTTCGGCAGACGAGAACAAAGCCTGTGGATGGGCCACGCCGCTCCGCGTAGCAGCTCAAGAAGGCCACGTAGAGATCGTGCGACTCCTACTGGAGGCGAGGGCGGAGACAGAAGGGTGTTCCGAGGTACGGGGAGACACCCCATTGGGTTTAGCAACCAACGAAGGCCACAGAGAGGTCGTCCGCCTTCTCGTGGAGGCGCAGGCAGACAGCAACAAGCGTGGTCCGGTCTACACACACCTGAGTCTCTGGGCGGACGATCTGATGTGATTAAGGAATATAGCCTCAATTACGGGGCTTCAGACCAAGGTTTAAGCTATATCTATATCCTTATTTGAGGGGTATTGGGCTCTCTGGGCGGATCTGCAAATCGTCCGACTGTTGTTGGAGGCCGGTGCCGACCAAAGTGTCGGTGGCGATCTGGAGGCAGGCTGCGGACATGGCGACGGTTTCTGGTCGCTGGGAAATCGTCGACCTACTGCAGTCGGCCAGAAAAGGATCGTGCGGCTCTTGCAGGGTTTAGACAGCCGCAGCAAATGAAGTAAGTATACAAAACTGTATTGTGGAGTGTCTAGGGTCATGAAGCTGATGTTAGCAACAGCAATCATTGCAACAGCAGCGATAAGACTACGTTGCTATTATCAGCATGGGAGAAGAGTGTCGCCTACCCTTGTTTACCAAACGCTCCCTTTCTGAGGGCCCTGGCATTACCATCCGTGTGAAGTACGAGAGTGGCGGTCCTAACCCGCACTGACTGCAAGGGGTTTAGGGGGTTTAGGGGTTTAGGGGTTTAGGGTTTAGAATTAGGGGTGTAGGGTTTAGAGTTCAGGGCGTAGCGTTTAGGGGCTTAGCACGTAATGACTTAATGTAGGGGCCTTTAGAATTCGAAAAGGGTTTTGGGCTCCTTTATCGTAGAGTTGTAATAACGAGCCCTAAGAAATAATATTGGTAATTATTTAGGCTTCTATAGTAGGGGTTTAAGACCCTCAACTCTAAACCCTAAACCCTAAACCATATGGGTAGTTATTTAGGCTTCTATAGTAACCCTAAGCCCTAAACCCTAAACCGTAAACCCTACAGTAAGGTTTTTTTGGGGATTTCAAGAGTACTCTAAACCCTAAACCCTAAACCCTAAACCCTAAACCCTAAACCCTAAACCCTAAACCCTAAACCCTAAACCGTGGAACCTGGGGCTTCCCGGCCTTCAGGCTTTACATGTCAGGCTGTGGGGTTCAGCAGCGGAAACCTTTAATCCCAAGGCCGCCCCTAAAGGGTTTAGGGCTTAGAGTTTTCGGTTTGAGGGTTTTTAGGGTTTAGGGTTTAGGGTTGAGGGTTTACGGGTCAGGGTTTAGGGGCTAGGGTTTAACCCTAAACCCCAAGCGCAAACCCTAGCCCCTAAACTGTATTGGAGTTCTCAGTTTCAAGCTAGCGAACCTCGAAAGAAAGCCTCTCTTTCCCGAGATGCTGAAACCGCGGCCCCATAACCCGATCCAGCCAAACCCTAAACCCTTAAACCCTCCCTGAACCCTGAACCCTAAACCCTAAACCCTAGACCCTAAACCCTAAACCCTAAACCCTAAACCCTAAACCCAAAGCCGTAGCCTTATCCGCGAAAGGCCGCTAAGCCCTGAACTGCAGGCATTGTGAGTGCCGACTGTTCGTATAGACCGGAAGACTGGGGGGTTCAGAACTTCGTACTGTTATAGGGGCCGTAATAATTACTTGTAGTATTTTGGGGTTTTGGGATTTTTGGGTTTTGAGGTTTTGGTGTAGGAGTAATATAGGGGCCTTAATTTTCACCTGTAGTATTTTGGGGGTTCCTCATCCTAGAAATGGTATGATGGGCACCAAAAGCCCATTATCACTATTAAGGCCCCTATATTCGGCGTGGAGCTTCCTTAGAGCTTGAGTACGGCAGTAAGTGGGTTTAGGGTTTAGGGTTTAGGGTTTAAGGGTTTGGGGTTCAGTGGTTTAGGGTTTAGGGTTTAGGGTACACCGATTCTCATTAGGCGGATCAGGAGGATGCACATTGATGTTGCGAATGCTGCTATGTTTATCGTTACCACTCTTTCGTTTTGAAAAGAGAAGCGTTTGCAGTATCGTCATTTCCATGATTGTCAACAGTAGCAGTCATCATGGTCATCGTCATCGTCATCGTCATCGTCATCGTCATCATCATCATCATCATCATCATCATCATCATCATAAGCATCATCATCATCATCATCATCATCATCATCCTCGTCGTCGTCATCATCCTCACCATCCTCGTCGTCGTCGTCGTCATCATCATCATCATCATCATCATCATCAAAGCGTCTCGGCCCGAGACATCAGTGACTCCAACTTCTACCATGCCCACTCGCGCCGAATCATGCCTCCCTCCAGCGGCGCGGCTTACGACCCCGAGGATGATTACATGCCGCTACGCTCTCCGAGCCCTTCTGGTTCTCCTGATCCTGGTTCTTCCTCACCCGATGCGGATGAAGACAGCATTGACGAGGCCACAGACACCGAACAGCGCCGACTGGACCC